TACTTTGATAGAGCAGCCTCTTTGAAGGTCGTAAGTCCCTTCAGGTTACAGGTTCGAATCACAATATATATATATGAAAAAACATGAATGGTCGGAGGCTATTAAACGAGCTTTGGTTATCCCTAGATGTGCTAAATATTTGAGTACCACACCCTGCATAGGAGAATTCGAACCCGTAACTTGAAGTTACTTACGACCTTCAGAGAGACTGCTCTACCAAAGTACCATAATATGTGCGCACGCGCACCCACACACACAAATATATATAATTCTAGTAATGATGCAATAAAAAACTTTTATGGAGGGGCTACAAAAAAATATTTAAATTAAAAAGTGAATAAAATAATCAATATATCATGCCTAAATTATATTCAAAATATTTATGTGAAATATCTTGAGTTAGAATAATGTATTTTGAGAGTGAGATAAAGTTATTATTGCATCATTATTGCTCATTTTAAATCATACTATTTTAATACTTATTGCATCATCCCTTTAGTCACGATTAGTTGAATGTGGTCCGATGACCTTTTCGTGCTAGAGAATAGGGCTTTTAACCGGACCTCGCCCTTTCATACGAGAATGAAACAAAATAGAAATGATTGGATCGTGCTTAATTAGACTATTCAGACCTCATGAAAATATATAACAGTACGACATTTTGACTGAAATTTACAACAATTTTATATTCTCTTCCTTGGTCAAGAACATTTCTCGAAACATTATTTTGAAGAAAAAAAATGCTCGAGAAAATAATTTTACTGTTCAGAGAAGCAGCTGTGAAGCTGTTGAAGAAAAAGTTACTGTTCAAAAAACTTTAGTATGTGAATAAAATATAGTTTCGCCAAATAAAAAAAAACTTCGAAGCAACACCACACTGCTAACCCAAATACGCCCTGAATCTTGAGAAAATATTACGTCCACATATTGTATGTCTAGATGACCGTGTGGATCGCATCACGCCGCTGCCCACACAATATAGTACAATCCACACCGTTGTCTGGATATCCGGGAATGTAATAATTATTCAAAATATGACTCAAAATTATATATCTTCAACAATTCTAGACAAACATTTGAATTTTTTAATAATAGTTATTGCAAAACTAAATCTTTTTTACTTAAAGAGATCAATCAACAAAATTTCATCCACAAAATCAACCAGTTCATCCACCAAATTATTTATACAATCAAGATGCATCAATTGTTGTCTTTCATCAAGATTCAACATGAGCAAGAAAATATTCATATCTAAGCAAATCAATTGAAGCAAGAATTCAAATACTTCATAAGATGTATGCATAACATATCAAAAAAAGAAAAAAAAAATACATAACATCTAAAAAAAAAGGTTTCCAATAATAACCCAAGAAGTTGATTCTTTTATCCACAGATGCTCTCGGAGAACCAGGGCCTGTTTGGGGCAGCTGCAATTGTTTAAAGAAGCAGCTGTGATGTTGTTGAAGAAGAAGTTGTTGTTTAAAAAATTGTGGTACGTAAATAAAATATAATTTTGTCAAACAGAAAAAAACTTCGGTGCAAAACTGCACTGTTGCCCCAAATACACCATAAATCTAGAGAAATTATTATGTCCAAACATCATATGTCTGAATGATTGTGTGAATCACATCATGTCACTGTGCACACAATATAGTGCAATCCATGCCGTTGTCTGGACATCCGGGAAGATAAAATATGACCCAAGAATTCTATATCGTCAACAATTCTAGACAAAAAAAATTGAATTTTTTTAACAATAATCATTGCAAAACCAAATCTTTTTTACTTGAAAGAGATCAATCAACCAAATTTCATTCACACAATCAACAATTTCATCCACCAAATTACTAATACAATCAATATGCATCAATTGTCATCATTCATCAAGATTCAACTTGAGCAAGAAAAATATTCTACTCTAAGAAAATCAATTGAACCAAGAACTCAAATACTCCATAAGATGAATACATAACATATCAAAAAAAAAAAAAAAAAAGTTCATAATGAAGCCAATATTCAACATATAAGAAAAAGCAACGTCATCATCTATCTACAAAAACCTAAAAAAACTTGCAGTAAAACTGAAATCACACAGGCCGCCGCAGCCCTCTGAAATCTCTGCTATCAACACATCCCAAATCTTTCCCATAATCATTCAGAAACCTCAGCAGCTCAGTCGCCCTCTCCTTCACCTTTTCTCTCCCCTCCACCTGAAGCAGCATCAAAAGCTTCACAAAAACCCCAACTTGCAGGGCTTCCACCACACATCCACCCTCTCTCCCTTCTTCCTTCTCCCTTCCTTCCCAATTCTTACACAGCTTCAACAATGAAGATACAGCCAGTTCAGTCGCCATGTCCGAAAACCCAAAAATCTTCTTCACAAGAACAGGGACTGTAAGCGCATTCCCATACGCTTTCTCCCTCCCCAACTCACATCCGCAGAGTCTATCAAGTGCAGAAAGCGCCGCCTCGCTCACTCTCTTTTCCGATTGCGAGTCCACCAGAGATTCGATCACCAAAGAGAAAACCCCCATCCTCACAAACCTCGCCGCCATACTTTCTTCTGAACACGCCGCGAGATGAAACGCGGTCAATTGCGCGGCCTTCTTACCTCGCGGAGAAATCGGATCAAGTATCAATTTCAGCAATATTTCAATTAGACCATCGATCAGCGCCGCTGCCCTAGCGAGATCGCCATCAAACCAAACGATCTGTTTCAGGACCAAAACAGCATCGAGCTTTGCGGTCGAATTCCCCGATCGAAGAATCGATGCGATCGCGTGGAGTGATTCCGGCGATCCGATTTCAGAGAAAACCTCCCCGTCGTCGGCGGGGTAAACGAGGACCAGCGCCGAGAGGATTTCTGAGAGGAAATCTAGGGATGCGGAGCCGGAAGTAGCGAAAGTGCGGAAAGCGGCGGCGAGAACGGAGGCGGCGCCGGATTCCGCGAAACGGCGGCGGTTCCTGTTGCTCTCGGCTGCTAAAACCCTAACCCTAGCCGCCGATTTCCGGCCACGGGGGAGGGCGGTGGG